GAGAGAGAGAGAGAGAGAGAGAGAGAGAGAGAGAGAGAGAGAGAGAGAGAGAGAGAGAGAGAGAGAGAGAGACGTACCTCAACTTTTAGATTTGATTCCATCCTCACTGCTTCAAACACAAAAGACTCGTTCCACACTGGGCAAAAGCTGTTCACAACGGCCTTCGTACGCTGGACATTTGCCCCATCACAGATCAGAACGGCATACGAATTACAGGAATGGGACGCAGAAGCCCATTCCTTTGGCACTGTCAATTGACGAGCCTCCACAACCTTTACCCTGAGCTGTCCAGTGATGGCTGCAGCAGCAGTGGGTGCCATTGACTGCCACAATGATCTTGCAATCGCAGACCTCTTAGGTCTCAGGTTGACCACATGTGTTCCCATTCCAGAAGAACTAGATGCCTGATCAGACACGTGCTCTTCAGTCCCATCCTGCTCAGGGACGATAGGTCCTGCCGACTGCTGCCCAGATTCAGTCCCTACCTCCCATGGCTTGAAACCCTCTCTCACTCGCCCCCTTCTCTCCTCAATCAATTCTCTGTTGATTGCAAGCAGTTCCTCAACCTGACTCAACACCTCCTCCTTTGCTTTCAACTGCACAGGTGACCATTAGCACAAATCCAAGTGCAAATGAACTCATGAAATGCTCTAAGTTGTTCGTCAGGTTGCAGCCTGAGATTGAAGCTGCTTCTCACACTCTTTCATGGTCATTTGGGTTCACAATACAGAATCGTGAGCGGTGCATTCTTTCAGTTTCTGCCAGCAAAGCAGCTGGACTTGAGTTCTTCAGCTGGGCTGTTTTCGATTTCTTGTGTTAATGTATCATTGAATCATTTATTTCTGGAATAGCCCATTTACTTTTCCCTTTTTCTTTCGTTCCTCTTAAACTGGCCCTTATGGACCTGGCTCTCCATATCCATTCTAGGGAGCATCAGTCAGGTTGCGATTCCACCGGCAAGTCAGATGAATACATAATACACACACGGGTGACGCTTCCCCACCTTACGGTCCACAAATCCCTGACTGCATTGATTGCTTCAATCTGAAGCATTAACTGCCAGTCAAGCCCATGGCTTTCAAGCAAACCCCTTCTCTTCACAGAGTCTTCAGTCAAAAAGTCCCTCTCAGCACGGTCATGAACTGCCTGAAATACAATGATACCTAGGATAATTCTGACCCCTTTGGTCCATGTATTGTGTCTCCCTCTCCTCTTCTCTCACCCCACCCTCTCTCCATATCCATTCTGGGGATCATCAGTCCACTTCCTATTCCAAAATTCCCACTATGTTGCTTGTGGTGACGTGGTGAAAACGACGAATTTTCGGCCCTCCATTAACCATCTCCACACCGGCAAGGCAGATGAATACCTAATAACTACACTGTGGATGCTTCCCCATATTAAGGCCCAGGTATCCCTGACAACATTGATTACTTCCTACTTTGGATCAAATCCCTCACCCTGCCAGGAAGGAGTCCCATAATAACATGCATACAATCAGTCAGAGAACCCCGATACAATTACATAGAGAGCGGGTGAGGAAATTGGAATAACGGTTCAATAACCCGTAGTGTTTCAAACAGAGGTCGATATTTGGACATTATGCATGCTGCAACAACGGTAAATTGATGATTTGAGTTGATTTCACGAATGACAAGCGAAGAGCAGCGGCACAGTGAAAAGTTGAAAACAGATGCTTTAGGAGCACCATCCAGTGTGCCTGCAAACTTTACCCCAAGATCTAAGCCAATGTTTACTGCTGTGACCAAACAACAGTCCATTTGCGGCGATTCCTTTTCTACCCCTTTTTCTTTTCTTCAAAACAGTCCTTACTGTCCTGGCTCCTTTCTACCTGGGGAGCCCCAATCTGGTTCCTTTTCCACTGGCGAATTGGATAGACGACACCCCACATCGACACTTCCTTCTCTGAGGGACCCCCAGAAACAGAATTGCGGCGCACGGATGCGATTCGTTTTTTTGGCCTGATCCGGCACACAACAGACCAACTGCCGGTTTCATGGGCCACCAGTGTCAGAACCGCAGTGAAAGAAAATGCCAAGAAAAGGCAGCCAAGTAATGCAAAAACACATCTGACAGATCGCCTGCAGTCCAAGAATACGTAATACATGTTCACCAGAGGTCTCACCACAAGAGGAAGCAATGCGCAACCCAGACCATCAAGATCAAGATTGCAGGGCCAAAAACGAAGCACAGTGTCAAAACTCAGCAGGTGGCGATGTGCCGGCTGCCAGCGAACTTCGGAGTATTGGCTACATAGCCAAATGTGACTCACGAGTGCATTATGGGTACAGGTGCCCTAGCGCTTGTGTCTGCCGCCAACTGCCAGGCCCACTTGCCTGGATAATATTCTAAGTCTTCTATAGCCATGTCAGATTAAGATAGTGTCCGCGCAGTGATTGTTAAGACCCTAACTTTCCTCAGCTGTCTAAGGTTGACTCCCTCCCTCTCTCTCTCTCTCTCTCTCTCTCTCTCTTCCACACACACAGGCACCACTCCTCGGCCAAATTCCCTAGTCTACGTTGTCCCATGCGGCATACGCCTCTATGACCGTTTATGGAAACATCTAAAATAAGGCCATTATATCTCCCCCTCCAATCTAATCTGCTCATTCTGTGTCTAATTTGAGTAATCTAATCTATCGGCGGACAGATCTCCTAAGCATCTCCAATCATTGACGCGTTCCACACCATTGTGGATTGTCCAAGACTCCCGTGACTAGTTTACCTTCCTGTCTCTTTCCCTATTCTCTCTTTCTCTGATCTCTTCATTCTTTCTTTCTTCCAGCGTTGTGGAATCCTTCCCTTGCTCCTCCCCCTCCACTATATTGCTAGCTGAGTCTTCCCGTCTCTTCCTCTATACACGACTGCCCAGCCTTCTGATTTAAGGGGCCATGTGAAGAGCAACAAATTGCAAAAAAGATTTAAGGAACATGAGCACGAGAACTAGATAAAACGGATGCAGCTGGCAGTCAAACATCATAGCTGCCATAAATGAAACCACACAGCAACATACAGAAGTATCCAAAAAAGGAAAGAAAAAACGTAAAAGAGCCAAAAGCCATAAATTCCAGCACAGCTGCGGATGATGATCATATTGGAGATTTTTTCTTTTGATATATAAATAAAATAAAAGCAAGAAGATATGACTGTTGTATGGACTGGCGATTAGCAAGGCCTCATCCACTGCAAAAACGATGGAACTGTGGAGGAGGAGGAGAAGGCGCAAAAGGAGCAGAGGGATCCGATTGGAGGAGAATCCACTGTCAGTGATCGGTTGCATCTTTGATAAGTGGTCTTGTGACTCATTTCCTGCTCCTCCTTTTCTCCTCGAGACCAAAAACAAAATCAAAACAAAACGAAGCAAAAGCAAAAGCTGGACCATCTGCAGGGTTACAAGACAAGGATCAGATGACCCATTGAGGGGGATTCGCAAGTCAGAGCCACGAGACTCGAGAAGAACACAAGACAGACAAGGGTCACTGCAGTTTCCCATCTCTGTTTCTCTTGCTTTGATGTTTAGCCGACAGGTCCTCCAGGGAGGAACCTGAGAGGAATCACAGGGAGAGGCAAGCTGATAGTCAATCCTCCAGCAAATGGAGTAATCAATGCTGTCCAGGGACCCTTCGGCTGGACAAAAGGGTGCGTGTGATACTGTTATTCCGACTTGCCGGGGGAATAGGAACTGGACTGACGTAGAGACTAAGGTTTTGATACAGGCAGAAATTCAATGCAGATGGAAGAAGATCAAGAGAAAAGGGACAGACGACGAAGAGCTCCGGAAGCAGGCTAGAGACAAGTTCATCAAGTCATGGTGGCAGGGGGGAAGGCTGCTGAGAGGAGGAATGATTCCACCTGGAGGAAGGAGTGGCACAGCATTGTCTCAAGAAGAAATCTGGAACAGCAAAGCATAGTATCAGGGAGCGGAACCCTCGATTCAGATTCCAACTGTGTCAGTTCTGCTTTCGGATCTCCGCCCTTGAGCTACAGCAGAGGGGAATAGGATGCAAGTTGGTAACGCAGGTGAACAAGGGAAGTAAAAGGGTCAAACTAAAGAGCCACGGAGCAATGAGGAAAGCAATCCTTGAATGGGAATGTTATATCGGGGTGCAGTTAAGAAGGACGAGGGTTCAGGGTTTAATGGTTGCTTAGGTAAAAGGAAAAAATAGGTGGAACGGGAAGGGCTCGGGTGGATGATCACAATAGAGGGACTCTTTCTAGGATGTAGCGATGAAATCTGGCAGACCTAATTGTCTGGTCTGAGAGGAAAGAGAGAGGATGGGCAAGCTGGCAGTCAATCCTCCACTGAGGTGGAGCAATCAATGCTGTCCAGGGGTCCTTCGGCCAGACGGAAGGAAGGGTGGGTGTAAGTACTTGTTGTAATTTTTTATATTGACTTGCCGGTGGAATAGGAACCGGACTGACGCTCCCCAGAATAGAAGGAGCCAGGACCGTAAGGCCCTGCCTGTAAAAAAAAAAAAAAAAAAAAAAAAAAGGGAACTGGACTGACGCTCCCCAGAATGGACATGCAGCCAGGACCATAATGACCTGTTTTTATGGGGGGAAAAAAGCAAAATCAGGAAGAGTCTGCATTCATACTCATCATGTCCAACATGGGAGGAGGCCATGCCATTTGTTACATGCTGCACCTGCAACATGCTGCGCCTGAAACGAGGGCCATTTTCAGGCCCTGTGTTGTTTTCAGCCTAAAAGCCTGAAAACAAGGGCCTACAGGCCCTGTGTCGTTTTCAGCCTAAAAGCCTGAAAACAAGGGCCTACAGGCCCTGTGTCGTTTCAGCCTGAAAGCCTGAAAACAAGGGCCTACAGGCCCTGTGTCGTTTCAGCCTAAAACAGGGCCCTCCAGGCCCTGAGTCTTTTCCGCCTGAAACGGAGGGCCATTTTCTGGCCCTCATAAGATCGACCTGGCCTGAAACTTAGGCACCAGACCAGGGTTTTAGCACAGGCCATTTTGGGCCTGTTCTCAAGACAACCTTTGTTTGAACTTCAACGCCAGGGTCTGGCACGTTTTGGCATTGGCAAGAGCAGCCTCCTGGACCGGCCAGCGCTATATAAGACTGGCCCACCCTGCAGGGTGCAGGTAGTTCATAGGGACTTCCCAGGCACTTCACGTGCAGTTCAGGAGGCAGGAGGTAGTCTTCAGGATTCAGCAGCAGCACTCTGGAGGAGCGCTGCAGTAGTAGTAGTAGTGTTAGCAGTAGTCTTCAGCGCTGGGCGCTATTAGGAGTCAGAGTAGCACTGGAGAGAGATAGAGATTGGGCGGCGGCCAGGGAGACTTACCTGCAGCGCCATAGCTCCAGCTCGTCGTCGAGGTACCTGCAGCACAGCGCCAAAATCACAGGTTAGTACCTGG